AGGGCTATTGATGTTGCTCCCCGAAGGCCTATCAAGAAAAGTCAATCATAAGCAATTGGGTCATCTAGTACCATTGTCAGGGAGACCTAGGGGGAGATATGTGTTGATGACAATGATACTGAATCTAGTGTACCCTAGCTTTCCCAACCCAAAAAAGGTTGAGGTGTTGGAAAAAGTCAAAAAAATGTCAAAAAATCCTTCCAAGAAACTGAGTCTTGGGAAGACATTACATCCCAAAGTTCAAAAGGATATTCAATCATCCTCAAGTCAAATATGTGTGATGCATACACAGGGCAGGGCTCAATTTCTTTTTAGCACAAGGAAGTGTATTGGTAGGCTTTTTAAGTTTATAGTTTTATTGAATAATTTATAAAGTGATGTATTTATTTCTATATGTGCATTTTTTTTTCTATGAATTAATTAATACATGAATACATGATACCTATATATATATTCAGAATAGACACGAGTGGGACCCTACTGAGGAGGATGTTATTCACAAAGCATTTCTGAAAGTTTGTGAACAATGATATAATTGTATGATGATTGATATCCAAACCTCATGTAGAAAGAAGAATTTTACAAAAAAAAAAAAAAAAAAACCCATACATGTCGATGAGATTTAGGAGAAGCTAAAGTACATATAGATGAAGGACTATAATTCAATGCACACGAAGAGCAAGCAAAGTTGAGTCAAGTTAAAGGCCCTAGGATAACCCACACATGTGGATCTATAAATTATAATAACATTGTGAAAAAACTGGTTACTTTATGTTTTAGATTTCATATCATAATTTATGTAATATTCTTACTGTTAATTATAATGTTTGTGTGAATTAACAAAATATTTGAATATGTGATATGGCAAAAAGAAAAAGATCTTGATCATAGGGATCCATCATTCATTGATGTGATTGTCACAAAAAAAAAAAAATGCACCATCTAAAGGACAAAAATAAAATGCCGACATTTATTGATGAGCAAGCTCGAGTGTGTACTGTAAGTGTTCTTTCTTTACCAATATTATTTCTTGAAAGGTTCATTTAAGTGATATATAATTATGTCTCCATTAACAATTAGATTGTATCTTTCAAATTCTCCTCGGTTTATTCATTTAAGCGAAATTAGATTACATTTTAATTATATTAAATATTATAGTTGGAAGTATATAAATGGTTGAGTATGTTTTATACTTTTTTTGTAGGGGGAAAGTTCAATTTTTAGAGGAAACTCTATTAAATTTTTTTCTAAATTCATTATGAATTGTAAAAATTTAAGTAATTTTTATTTTGTTAGTTATAATTCTATTGAATATTACGGTTGTAAGTATATGATTAAATATAAAATGTTTTTATATTTTATTTACAGAGAGAAAGCCTAGGTTTTAAAATAAATGAATTCTAAATTTTTTTAGATTTATTATAAGAAAATTAAATGATATAATTTTTTTTGTTTTAATTTATTGCAGGAACCACTAATTACAAAGGCTACTCAAAAATAAGGGAAGGACACCACTAAGTGTCCAAAAATAGTTGATGCCCAACTTTTGTCCCAAGTTTTAGGTAGATCTTCCAAAGATGGGCGACTTTATGGAATGCCAATTTACATGGACCTTGCTGAGCAAGGGATCTCACACCATAAACATCCTTCGCATACTATAGCTTCTAGTTTTGTTCAATCATCTCAATATGTGATGCAGTTACAATAGGCTGTGACAAAACTATAAGAGAATCAATAGATATCACAAGATAAGGTAGACAGAATGAAGTAGATGGTTTTTACGATGCAAGGAAGAGGAGGGTTTGGGACAAGTGGGGGATCATAGTTGGCTTCATTATAAGTCGATCATTGTATGAAAAACTTCTTTTGGCATTATGCATGGACATGTATGACGGTCTCTGCATATATGATTAGCTATATAATGATACAGTACTTTAATTATTATTCTAGGACATAATACTTTAATTATGATTCTAGGTTAAGTTTTATATTTATGTGTTTCTAGGTAAACTTGTTCTCAATTTAGATGTTTAGATATATATTTGGAAATAGCTTAGTAGAATTTTTATTACATTGATTATAGATTTTATGACAAAAAGTTGAAAATAGAGAACGCAAAAAATAGAGAAATTAAGTAGGAAATAGAGAAAGTAGAAAGTACGAAACTGAGCAACCTACACATTAGGTGCAATAAGGATGGTTTTTTTCGTCATTTAAATTGACAGAAAAAAGCAAGTATATTTTCACAACTTATTTCGGTCAGTCAATTTGACCGACCTTCTAAAAAAGTGCCTCTTTCCCATCATAATCTTCACTAGGGAAAATAAATACCATAGCTAATCTATTTCAATCACTCACTTGACCTAAATTGGAAGAAAACCTATTACATTTTAATTTGGTCAAACTATTTGACCGAATTACCTATATAAATTATCATTTGTTGAACACATTATTTTCTGTCAATTTTTTTTTTTTTTGAAATAAGAAAAGGTTTTGAGAAAAAAAAAGAAAGAAAGAAAGAAAGAAAACTGAGCTTCCCCTTAGAAGGTGTTGAAATTTTTAAAATTTTTCACTATTTTTTAATTCGATCACAAGTTTTAACCAAATTCATTTTTCAATTTCTTTTGGTTCCCACTCTATCATTTGAAATTTTTGCTAAATTAGTTTTGAAATTTCCACCAAATTTATTTCAGTCAGTTTTATTTGTCCGAATTGTTCCTGTATAAATGCATCAGCCCAAACTTTTTTCCTCACTTCTCCAACTTCTCTTCATTTATTGCTTCTCTAATTTCAACACTTCTGTTCATCTCTTACTTCTCTAACTCTCAACAATTCTCTTTAACTTTCCATTACTTCTTCATGTGTTCATCTTTCTTTTTCTTTTTCTTTTTCTTATTCACTTCTCCAATTTCTTTTTCTTAGTATTTTATTTTCTTTATAATTCATATTTATATATTTCCTCCAAAACTAATACTAATTCCTTTCTTTCCCATCCCTTTTACTTTCATTTTCTTTAATTATTAAATTATGTAAATTCATCTTTACTTTTTATAATCTTCTGTTTTTTGTGTAATTCGAATTGTTCTAATGATTTAATTTTTCATTTTCAAGGTTCCCTAATTTGGTAAACCATTTGGGCAGGATTTTGGAGGTAAATATTGCATGATTTAATATTTATACTCATATTTATATTTTCTATATATTTTTTAGTTTATTCGTATGCATGGTTTAATTTATATACTTTTCATTTATGGTTATATATGTGAATTTGACTTATTTGTATATTTATGATGGATTCTTTTTGTAAATGTAAAATAATTTAATGAATTGTTTTCATTTTTTTACGTATATAGAAATTTAATTACAATTATTAATAAATAAGTGTAATAATAATTAAAAATTATAAAAGGCCAGAAAAATAGATAAACATTAATATTGTTGATGATATCAAAATTGAATTTTTTATAATACCAATTTTATTATAATATTTTTTATATAAATTAAAATTAAGTAAATAATTTTATTTTTTTGGAGTATTCATGTTTATTTCGATCAAAATAACATGAACAAGATTATTTTAAAATTTTGAGAAATGCTCAATTGATTATAATTTTAGTTAAATTTTTTAACCAAAATGATGTTTAACAAATTTTCAAAAGAATCCCTTACACATTATTTCAGTCACTCATGTTGACCGAAACAATGGTAGTGAAAATTTCCTAAACAATGGTTTTAGTCAATATACTTGACTAAAAAAATAATTTACAAATAGTAAAAATATCTATTTCAATTAATTTCATCATAGAAATTGACCGAAATAGTGTTTTGACGACGGTGGAGTTTGCAACTACTTTGGTCACCATTATTGACTGAGATATGTGATTAAAATAATATTTATATAGTTTGAGAAAATTATTTTTCTGAATATTTGAGTTTTTTTTATTGATTTACCCAAGCAATTTTTCAATCAAGCTCTTAACCAAATTAATAAATATTTTAATCAGAATGAAATTCTCTCTAAAATTTTATTTCATACAAAGGATATTAAGATCAACAATTCAGCAATTCTCTTGACTGTATTACTTTCTTTTTTTTCAATCAAAATATGGCCTTGTTTAGTCAGTTTGCTTGACCAAATAGGGCTTGTTTTCTAAGAGTGAGGTAAAGGGCACATTTTTAGTATTAGTTTATATAGAAAATTATAAAAATAAATTTTATTTTCAATAAAAATGTTACATAGAACATTTTAATTAATAATTTATAAAACTAAAATCAACTTGTTTTTTATATAAATTAATATTCTAAATGTGCAATAAAAGGCACAGGTTAAAAAAGATTTTTTTCAATTTTTTCAATGTAGAAAAGAACATCTCTTTAATTTCTCTCACATTCCCCTCTTCCTTTCTGCTTGTGCTCTCCTTTGAGTTCCTCTCTTAGGATCTCCTTCAATTTCTCATCGGTTTTCTTTCTTCCTCAGGTTTTCAACTTTCCATTCTATATAATTTCAAGTTGCCCGACAAATTTTAGAAAGGTTGCATCTCAAATTCAGGGGATACATGTTTGCCATCCATAAATCTCTAAGTTAAAAGTAGAAC